GAGACAGCAGCCATGAAATTAAAAGACGCCTGCTTCTTGGGAGGAAAGCGATGGCAAACCTTGACAGCATCTTAAAGAGCAGAGACATCACCTTGCCAATAAAAGTCCGAATAGTCAAAGCTATGGTTTTTCCTGTCGTGACGTATGGAAGTGAGAGCTGGACCATAAAGAAGACCGCCGAAGAATTGACGCCTTTGAATTGTGGTGCTGGAGGAGGCTCTTGAGAATCCCCTGGACTGCAAGGAGAACAAACCTATCCATTCTAAAGGAAATCAACCCTGAGTGCTCACTGGAAGGACAGATCCTGAAGCTGAGGCTCCAGTACTTTGGCCATCTCATGAGAAGAGAAGACTCCTTGGAAAAGACCTTGATGTTTGGAAAGTGTGAAGGCAGGAGGAGAAGGGGACGACAGAGGATGAGATGGTTGGACAGTGTCATCGAAGCTACCAGCATGACTTTGACCAAACTCCGGGAGGCAGTGGAAGACAGGAGGGCCTGGAGTGCTCTGGTTCATGGGGTCACGAAGAGTCGGACATGACTAAATGACTAAACGACGACGAGTCACATCCAACCTAATAGTGTTTTCGAGGTAAGTGAGATATTCACATACCTGCCCAGTGAGTTTCCATGGCTGCATCCAACTTAATAGGGTTTTCAAGGTAAGTGAGATATTTACATACCTGCCCAGTGAGTTTCCATGGCTGAGTGGTGGTTTGAATCCTGGTTTCCTGAGTCCCAGTCCTTCTAACCACTACACCACACTGGCTCTCAAATATGTGCTTTCCCCTCTATAATTCCTTTTGTCCCCAGGAATGTTGCCCATTGCCGGAATTTATGGGTGTGCAAATATTCTCGGCTTTGATGTGGTCCAAATTAGTCTTCTTACACATCACAACCAATTTGCTTTAAGCATGTTTGTAGTCTGCCCACTTCAATTTGTATCCAAATATTCAAGATCATTTATATGTATCTGTAAAAACATAAATATTGAGAGACTAAAGGGGTCTGACCTTGGATAAAAAGTGAAGCTCAGTCCCACCAAATACTGTTTGATCTCCAGGATGCAGGCGAAGCTTACATAAGCTTCCTCCCTCCCTCCCTTCTTTTTCCTTTCTCTGTCAGTGTTCAATTTACTTACAGAAGCAGGCAAATAAAAAGCAAAGTAGAAAATCTGGGGGCCAGATAGCTTAAATCCTTTTCCTAATGCTAATGTAACCTATCCCACTCAAATCAGATAAAAAAGACTCATGGCATCCATGGCATTTTCACACACACAGGTAATCAGTCAACTGGATTCTAAGGTGGGATGCAGAAAGTGATCTGCAGCTACCTAAAAGAAAAGAATGTGTTTTCCAATGGACACTGACTCTACTGAAAACAACAGCGATGCATATGACAATCCCCCAAAAGACCAACACTCTTCCATCACCTTGTGCCAGGCCACCAAATGGCCACTGATCATGAGACTCGATAATTTATCTGGTCAGTCTGAGCCCTACCAGGGGCTCCATTGTTTGTCTTTTAGTTGGTGCTTCAGCAGTCAGTCTCCTTTTCCTTTGGGCTTCTATGTTCAAGTGTTGCTTTTGTTTTCTCAGTGAGACTGATTAGCACTGTGCTTTGTTTTGTTTTTTAAAAATTTCAGCTATTTAAACTGGAGCACCAAAGCAACATTCAATGCTTCAGAGAGCCCTGAATCAATCTGAGTGCCACTTCTGACTTCCTCACTTCACTTTGGGTAAGTTCAGAAACTGACAAATACTCCCACTTCACTTTAGATTCTGAGTAATTTCCACACCTGAAGCACAACTCAGTGGAAATCATACTCTGCCACACAGGGAAAGAGCTGGGTTGGGGGAAATCTATTTTAGCTAATTTCTACATCCATAAAAGCAGCTTGTCAATATTTATTCACAGTCCAGTACTACACTTTGTTTGGGTAGATAAGCATCATGAAAATCAGGTGGAGCTATGTAAATGAGAAAGTTGGGTTAGACAGAAGAGGGCTGCCTTACGACCTAATAGCTCCTCTTGAGCTCCCTGGCACTAAGACAATGCAAAACGTAGTATATTTAGGTGGAAACAAAGGGTGCAGTGAGATGGACATTTGTCTTGCTCTTTGGTCCACTGCGGGGATGGGCTTGTTCCAAGGTTCCTTTTAAGGTGTGCACCTACATGCTCATGAATCTGTCATCCCCCCCCTTTGTGCAGCCTTCCTCCTCCTCCATGCACCAACACGTGATCATTTTTAGCCCCTCTGGTTCCAGTTGCAACAGAACACCACAGAGGAGGGGGGATCATGTATGTGTGGGAATGAAATCATGCACGGGGGGGCCCCTGAAAATTAGAGGGAATGTTGGCTGGTTCACTCCTTTTTCCAGTGATCAAACGAAATAATTGCTGGAGCAAACTAGCCTGTCTCCACAGCATTCCTATCTTTCTTGGTCCCTGTTGGGTGCGTTTGGTTTTTTGTTTTGTTTTGTTCTGGTGCTGGTAGAATCACTTGATTTTGGTTTATTCCCAGCTCATGTGATCACCAGAAATGAGCAAAAGTAGGTCTTGTGGTTTAAATGTACCTTTCTCTTTCCATTTCCAGTCTTCTTAAGTGGCTGAAGAAGACAGCCACTTTATGATATTGGGAAATTAAACATTTATTCTGCTCTATAGAGGGGCAGAGGAGGTAACCGTTGTGGGTTTTTAAATGTACCTTTCTCTTTCCATTTCCGGTCTCTTTAAGTGGCTTAAGAAGACAGACACTTCATGATATTGGGAAATTAAACACTTATTCTGCTCTATGGAGGGGCAGAGGAGGTAACCGTTGTGGGTTTTTCCCCCCTTTAAAATGTGTTAGAATAGCAGCACTGATAAACTCTACCTCTCAGGAAAAAAAATTCAAAATTTTCTCCCAGAAGTGGAAGGGAACAAAGACCTATTTTTTTCTCCTTTAAAAAAATTAATAATGTGATTCAATCCCCATCCCGGAGCATTTCCTGCATTATTTGCCAACGGAGTCACACCTTGAAACAGACAGATGGGGTGATGGTTTGCTCCCTACCTCAGCATGTTGGCCAGGATGGAGCTGCTGTTTCCAATGGTAGCACTTCAGACAAAGGGGATGGTAGTCTTTGCCTAGAGAATGCTTCCGTTCAGCTGTTAACAGAGGAAAAAGGTATGAGTAATTATACTCCAAGCACTTCATTAATAGAGGAACATATGTGGAATGCAGCTTTGATCCACAAAATCACTTGCCAAAGTAATTTCAGAATGAAAGGAGTTTCAGCGCAGGCACGATTTGGCATTTTCCCCACCTTGTTTTAACACCTTCATTTTTGTAACATGAAGCTTTGAAGTTTGCTCAAACTTTACATATTGGACATTTCATATCTTGCTAGGACAATAAAGAAGCTTTCATCATCACTTCAATCAACTGCCCCTCCCCCTGTTTTATAATTTGCCATCTTTTGCAAAAGAAGAAACATACACATTTTATTACCCCAGGTCACATTATGTGTAGTATATATTATTTTTGTTTTTCAATTAGGGGAGATGTAACACCTTTGAGTTTTTATCTAAGTGTTTAAGCAGAAGTGCAGTTTTCCTTGCAGGCTGAAAACTTTCTCCCTTTTTTGGTGCAGAGACCTAAAATTAAAGGTGGATTGCCAGATTTTACATCTTTGTACTCTGTTTCCCCCAAAATAAGGCCTAACTTGAAAATAAGCCCTAGTAGGATTTTTCAGGATACTCGTAATATAAGCCCTACCCCAAAAATAAGCCCTTGTTAAAACCCGCCCTCCACCATTGTGCAGCAACCAGAAGATGACATGACTGTATTGGAATAAGTGTAGATCGTTGTACATGAAAAAAAAAACATCCCCTGAAAATAAGCCCTAATGCATTTTTGGAGCAAAAATTAATATAAGACCCTGCCTTATTTTCGGGGAAACAGGGTACTTTATTTTTCTTTTTAATTCTAACATACATATTGTGGTGTTACTCAAAAGAACTCAGACAGTAGACTTATTTCTTCCCTCTTTTATCCTCAGAACACTGTGACGGCTCCTGACTGAGACAGGGAGGCACCCCGCTGCCCATCCTGGCCCACAAGCTACTTAAATCACAACTGTTAAGTAGCTGAAGTTGAGACAGAGGGGCTGGTTTGGATGATGACGGTGTGATGCACTAAGCTCGAGATATACATAATGCTTTGACCCAAGCATACAGCCCATCCACTTCTTTCTATGAGCCACAATTACATTTGGAATGCTGTAATTTTCAGATTCACACAAACTGGAATCAATAGATAACAGATTTGGAACAAGCCTGAGACAAAAGCTGATTCAGATTGTACTTTAAGAGGCTGACTTATTCCGAAACTGTGTTCCAACACTTTTCTCCTGGTTTGGGAAAAAACGAGAAACGGGTTAGTTTCAGAATTAGTGATGTAACTGTGGCTTGACACAGAATAGGGAAGTGAACATCTGAAATGTTGTTATGTTTTGAATCCCCCTCCAGCATATCTAGAGTCCTGTGCAGCTTTTTTAAAATGTGCTATTAAAAATACTTAAACTGTAGATAGTACAATCAGGCTTTTTACATTTTTTACATTTAAAAAAAAAATAAAACAACTGGATCATCTGGCAATACCAGAGCAGGTGTGTCCCTCAAATGCAACTCAACTCCTGGACCACTGCAGTTCGTCTATACTTGACCTAGACCAAGGGGATGCCACAGATCTCCAATCTCTATGGCAGTGGTCTCCAACCTTAGGTCCCCAGATGTTCTTGGAGATCTCTATGGCAGTGGTCCCCAACCTTAGGTCCCCAGCTCCTAGAAATCCTGGCCAGTGCAGTCAGTGGTGAAGGTTTCTGGGAGTTTTAGTCCAAGAACATCTGGGGTCCCAAGACTGAGAACCACTGCTCTCTCTATGTAACAGCAGTGGCATAGGATTGGCTCTCTGGGAGCACCAGATTTCCAGTGCTTGGGAAAGTTACTTTTCTGGGTTACGTCTCCCGGAATCCCTCAGCCAGCACAATCACTGTCCATGCTAGCTAAGGGATTCTGGGAACAATGATCCAAAAAAAGAGTAAAATGTGCATGCTCTGTGGATTTCCAGGCTCTGAAGGCTATAGTTCTGTTGCCTTGTGGCTTGGCTTTGCCTTCTCTGACCAGAACAGCTACAAAGAATAGGGTATCCATGCCTGATCCACAGGGCTTGCAGTTTGAGCATGTGATGCCTCTACTCCACCTATGGTTAGAGGTATGAAAGGCTGAATTGGTACACTGGTTCAAGGCTCCATTTTAAGATCTATGACAACACTCTTAGTTATTGCAAGATTTCTGACTGTTGGCAGGGCTGGCCATTTAACAAAACCAATGAAATGTCTGTTCTGTCTTCACAATTTGGTGCCCCCTTCCCCCAGTTGATTGAAAGACAACCCTGGCACTCACTAGCACCAAATTATAGGGCTCCAAATGAGAATTCAGGCAGCATGGGATTCCCTGGCAAGAGGTTAAAAATCAGGACATGAGTAATAATCTTAGATCTGCAGAGCTGGAAGGGCCCCCTATGGATCATTGAGTCCAGCACACAGGAGGGAATTGGACCTCCGGCTCCACATTCCGAGACCTAAACCACTGAGCTATCCAGCAGTTTCTGAGCAGCATAACTGAAAAGAGAAAGGCAGTCTGGTAAATAGACTTGACTGGGTTGGATTGGAGAGAGTCAGACTGGAGCAAAATGGTAGCTTGTGAAGTTGAGACCAATCAATGCAGTAACAAAGCACAGGGTCACTATGGGGTCTAAGTTGCCAAAAGCCAATGCCAACTTCACTTACTGCAATGGGAGCTGGCTAGCTAGAAGGTAGATTACTCTCTCCCCCCCCCACCCAAATTTGGTCAGATCCTGTACTCAGTACAAGAGTCTGCACGATTGTGCAGGGAAGATGAGGTCCCCACCCTCCCGTTGCATATCCTGACCCTCTCCTTCTTTCCCTGGTGATACATTCAGCCACAGTTATAAGACAATTCCAGGCCACAGAAACTTTTCTGCTCGATGTAGGCATCAGACAGAATTCTTCTCCCACTAAGATCCACAAAGCCTGATGTCACAACAGTGGTTCTAACAAAGCCTGGTGTTGGATAGAACAACGATTCTTGAGTTCCCAGAAGCCCTCACCACTGACTAAGCTAGCTGGGACTTCTGCTCAGTCAGTGGATGAGAGCTAACATATCTGATTAAGTGGCTGCAAAGTTGCAAAAGCTTATGCCAAATCCACCTTGCTAGTCATGACAGTGCCATGCGACTCTGAGTTGGTTTGCCTGCATCTGTGTTCTAATGGGATTCAGGGAGATGAGAATGGCTTTTACATTCCTGTCCCAGAGAATACACCCATGTGGATGTTTTTTTTCTGCTTGCATCTGATCACTCTCAAAAGAGGTGGAAGGAGATTTGTTCTAACATGAAGCTGTCTAATGTTCCCTGACATAATATTTAAAAATTCATTTACGTGGCAGCAGGGATGCGCGCTGGCTGCTGCCGAAATGTAGGTTAGGGGTTGCAAGAGTTCATACTGAACAGCCCCACCTATTTCTTTTAAATCAGAGGAGAACAGAGCAGATCTTGCGTTTCAAGTGCACCGCCCTCTCTCCTACACCTTAATAGATCTGTGCCCCAAGGCGAAGGAAGCCAGCGCAAGTTCACATTTGCCTCAGATCGTCCAAAAGCCACATGAAATGCAGAATTTACAGATAGAACTGTAACTACGAAGGGAAAGATCAGGCATGCCATTTCAAGATTTGGGAGGGAGGCAACAAAACTCAGGGCAAGGTCCATCTCAACACAGAATTAACCGGCAATTAAACAATGGTGGATTTTAAAGAGCATTTGGTTAAGCTTATTTGATTTCGCAGTACCTTTGAATAACCGTAGCACTGTTATCCACCGAGGACAAACGTGCACACGTCCTGAAGTTTTTATATCTTACTGTTCTTATTGTTCTAATATAAGATGCTCCGGCAGCCTCGTGGGCAGATAAAAATGCTTTAAACGAGTAAATAAAATTAATGTCGTTGTTCAAGTGATTTGTTTATTTGATAAATTTATATTCTGCCCTTCAGTGTAAAACATTTCCAGGGTAATAAATATGAAAAAACAACAATAAAACAGTGATCAAACAACAGCGAATAAAACATATTTGTGCCCCTGGCATGCATACTGAGTACATAGGCCCATTTAATTGCTCATAAAAATAGAAGGCATGTGGAAAGCTCTCTGGCTTGATTTCATTCTATTTCTCTCAATGCCACCTGCACTATTTTTCCCCTCAACCTGACTTCATACTGAATTGAGAAACGTTTGTGTGGGTGGGTGGGTGTTCTCTGACACTGAAATCTTTAATACTTGCCCTGCTAATTTTGACATGTATTTGCACTTTTTAACCTGACATATGCATTAGTCTCCCATTGATTAGTGTGCTTTACCCCTATTCTATACATTTGTATTGTTTCTTGGACTTTTGGCTAAGATCAAGTGTAGTTTATACATTTGCAGTGGTTCACATATTAATATATGTACACATACACACATACAAATGTATGTGTGCGTGCATGCATGCAAACCTGACTTCTCCAAAGGCCCCCATCAGTTTTGCTAATGTGTGAGTTCTTGAAGTAAGAGTGAGATTCAGGAGGTGCAAAAGGTTAACTTCCTTCAGGACTATAGAATCCAATGAAAATCTTTTCTATTCCAAATAAAATAACCTCACTGGAGAAGACAATAATGTTAGGAAAACTTGAAGGCAGCAAGAAATGTGGAAGATCAAAGATGAGATGGTTTGACTCAGTAATGGAAGCCACAACTTGCATTTGCAGAAGCCGAACGTGGTTGGTGATTATAGGACATTTTGGAGGTTGCTCATTCATGGGGTCACCACAAGTCAGGAGACAACTTGACAGCACACACCGACAGCAACATCTCCAGCTCATGATGTACCATGGTCTTCCCCACCTTGGCGCCATCCAGATGTATTAGGCAACATCCCCACCCATTAGATGGCTGGGGATGATAGCAATTGTGATCCAACTGGGTCAGTGTTCTAGTGAGCGTGTGGTTTCACCAGTGTTGGGGGAAGAGAAGAATGCTCTGGGCAGAA